GATTGGCTTCTTCCTGCACGCGCCCAACTGGGGATTGAGCCTCCAACCCAGGTATGTGCCCTTGACTGGAATTGAACCCAGGATCCTTCAGTCCGAAGGCTGTTGCTCTATCCACTGATGCTCAAACCAGCCAGGGCAATGGCAGAGATTTTGGGGCTGAATCAAGAAGTTAGAGCCAACTATTTCTGATTGACAAGAGGTTAACTTTATTTTTTATTTCTTTTTTTATTATTAATGCTTACCCATGGAGATACATTTTCATTGAATTTAAAAGAGAGAGAGAGAGAGAGAGAGAGAGAGAGAGAGAGAGAGAGAGAGAGAGAGAGAGAGAGAATAGAGATGAGAAGAGAAGAGAAATCTGTTAGTTTCCACTCACACTCCGATTAAACCTACAATGTAGGTATGTGACCTGACTCGGAACTCAACCCACCCCCTTTTGCTGCACTCCAACAAACTCAGCCACTGGGCCAGGGCGGCGGGGTTCACTTTAATACATGGTGCCAATCAGTTCAAAGCAAAACGATGAAAGGATGTATGATGCAAACATTAGGCAAGAGGAAGCAGAAGTGTCTGTGTTGGTTTCCTATTGCTGCTGTAAGAAATGAGCAGAAACCTCGTGGCTTTAAACAAGATAATTTCTTATCTCCGGGTTCTGGAGGTCACAAGGACACAGTCAGTCTCCCTGGGCTGCACTGGGGTGAGAAAGTGTCCCTGCTTCTTCTCTCTTCCAGGAGCTGCCTGTGGTTCTTCGTGCCTGACCCTTCCCTCCATCCCAACAACCTCCTGATTTCATCATCCTGTTTCTTGGTCTTTCCCCTGTGAAGACACTGGACTCACCCAAATCATCCAGGTTAATGTCCCCATCGCAAGAACCTTTGTTTCATCACGTTTCCTTTGGAAAGGTGTATTATCCTATTCATTGCCCACTTATCTGCCAACAGAAGGCATTTCCTCTCAGAGTTCCCAAGTGAAGCTGTGGAGCACCCGTATCCCAAAACATTGCACCAACCAGACAGGACCCAGCAGTGGACAGTGGAGGGAGAGGCATCCCTCGTGTGGGCTGCTGTGTATCTAACATTTTGTGTGACTTCCCTTCACCCTCTGGAATCTCTGGTTATGGCACCAGGTTTACCTCTCTCATCGAACACTGGATGGCTACCTGGTGACCAGATGGAAATGACAATACCCTCCTCAGGGATAGTTCCAGTTGCAAAGACCCTGGATATCATCGAGTTGTTCCTGGGAACCAGTGGCACATCAGGAGCAACTTTCTAAATGGCATTTAGCTCTCACCTGGCCGGTGTGGCTCAGTGGTTGAGCATTGACCTATGAGCCAGAGGTCACAGTTTGATTCCCGATCAAGGCATATGCCCAATCCCAAGTGTGGGGTATGCAGGAGGCAGACTATCAGTGGCTCTCTCTCATCATTGATGTTTCTACCTCCTTCTCCCTTTCTCTCTGAAATCAATAAAAATATATTTAAAGTAATGATAATAAATAGCATCTAGATCTCTATTGCAGGTGATGTGATGACATAAACTCACAGGGGCTCACACAGACCCCCTGTATACCAGATACTGCTAGCAGTATGGGGGCTGGCTGGGCCCATGGCCATAGGCCCAGGTTCCTGGAATGGGGAGCCGTTCAAACCCACAGCCTTCTCAGTCACCTGGTAACTGACAAATCTGTCTTCTTAAGTATACCTGACATCTGCTGCTTCCACAATCCAAAGACCCACACCCAGAGTTGCACCCAGTTCTTTTCTTTTCTTTCTTTCTTTCTTTCTTTCTTTCTTTCTTTCTTTCTTTCTTTCTTTCTTTCTTTCTTTCTTTCTTTCTTTCTTCCTTCCTTTCTTTCTTTCTTTCTTTTTTCTGTTAGTTTCTCCCACTTAGTTGGGTTATGATATGTCTTGGTGTGGATGTCTTTGGATTTAACTTATTCTGAATTTATTGGGTTTTATGAATATGTAGGCTTATGACTGTTGACAATGATGGGGAAATTTCATCCATTATTTCCTGAATAGTTAAAGTCTCATCATCTGCTTCTAGGACTTTGGCCACATGGATTTTAGAGCATCCTGTGATGTTCCCAGTTTGTAGCTTCCTTGTTTGAATTTCTTATTAATTTATTTCTAGCCTGGTAAACTGTGTTGTGGGATGTGTCTTCCTTGTCTACTTCAGGAGAAGCTTGTGTAAGTATGTTGAGTGTGTGTATGTCCGTGTGTGTGTGTGTGTGTGTGTGTGTGTGTGTATTTAATACACGTATAGTATTCAGAAGCATTTACCAGGATATTTTTTAAGAAGAGAAAGAAGAAAAAGGTAAAGAACAACAAAAAGACATCAAATACATACTTACCAACAAGTGAATCTAAAAATCAAATGAATAAAAAGTCTGAAGAACAGAATGGACTGGTGAATATAATGAAATCAGGGACATAGAAAGGGAGTAGACTGACAATTTTCAGCGGGAAGGGAGTCTGAGGGGTGTGGGAAGACATTGGACAAAAGTCTTATATCTATGGATGAAGACAGTAGTGGGAGGTAAGGGCATGGGGTGGGGTACAACATAGTGGGTACACAATTATGTACTTTACAAACTGATCCCCTCCAATATTTCCAGTACCCACTTGGCAGTACACATAGTTATTACAATATTATTGACTTTATTTCCCATGCTTACTTTACATCCCCGTGACTGTTTTGTAACTACTAATTTGTACATCTTAACCCTTTCACTTTTTTTTGCCCAGTCAGTCCCCTAAGCCCCCTTCCCTCCGTCCATTCAGTCTTAATCCCTTTTCTAAAGAACCTTTATTTATTTGGTTGGTTCTTCCAGTGCTGAATAGAAATAGTGATGGTGAATATTCTTGTCACAGTATCGATTGCAGGCAAAATAACTTCTAGTTTTACCTTTAAACATTATCTAACTACATAATAAAAGAGAAAAATGCTAATTGACCATACCTTTGCTATGCCCACAGCGAATCAGAGTGAATATGCAAATTAACCCAACAAGATGGAGGTTAATTTGCATAAGCAGGCCAAAGAAGTGTGAAGCCTGCTGTGAGGGGATGGGGGGTGGTGGAGGGAGCTACCGGAGTAGCTCCAGACAGAAGTGAGGGCTTGCTGGGAGTGAAGCCAAGGGCCTGTTCTTGCACGAATATCATGCAACGGGCCTCTAGTATATATATATATAAAAGGCTAATATGCAGTGTCCCCTTGGGAATTTGATTCCTCGGTATGATGTGCACTGACCATCAGTGGGTGGCGCGGAACGAAGGAAGGCCCCAGCAGGCAGCTGGAAGGCCCCAATTGGCCATGAGCACCAGCCAGGCCTAGGGACCCTACCCATGCACAAATTTTGCTCACTGGGTCTCTAGTTTATTTTATAAAGAGTTTTAAAGACACTTTGATGAATGATATAAAGAACTCTCTTTTATTTTCTGAGGAGTTTTTCATTACAAGTTGATCCTGTATTTTATCAAAACTTTGCCTCTGTGGATATAAAAGGTACTTATTCTTTTGATAAAAGAGATATTTATTCTCTGTTGATATTTCGTCTTTTAATATTTGAGTTGTATTGATTAACTTTTTGAAATATGAAACCCACTATGTCTGCCTGAAAACACACACCTGCATGGTCATGCTAGATTATCCACTTTATGTATTGACAGATCTTGTTTAGATATACAGGTTTTATTTTTTAGATCATTTTATTTAATTAGTTATTCAAATTTATCTGTATTATTGAAAATATTACAGATGTCTCCATTTTTTCCCCATTGACCCCTCCTCCCTGCCTCGGTTCCCTCTCCAGGCCTTCACCTCACTACTGTCTTGTGTCTATGGGTTATGAATATATGCATATAAGTGCTTTGCTTGATCTCTACCCTTCCCTTTGAAGATCATCAGTCGGTGGCATGCTTCTGCCTGAGTATTTTGTTGAGGATTCCCTATCTAAGTTCCTGTGAGAGGGCTTCCTGTGACCTTGCCAGTTTGCAGCTTCCTCATTTGAATTTCTTATCAATTTATTTCTAGCCTGATAAGTTGTGTTGGGCAGATATGCCTTCCTTCTCTATTTCAGGAGAAGCTGGTATAAGTTGGTTGTGTGTGTGTGTGCATGTCCATGTGTATGTCCCTCTGTGTGTGTGTGTGTGTGTGTCTGCGCATGTCCATGTGTGTGTGTGTCCGCGTGTGTGTGTCCATGTGTGTGTTTACCTGTGACCTGGTTTACCTGTGACCTCATGCCCCCTCCTACAGGGCGTGTGTGTGTGTGTGTGTGTGTGTGTGTGTGTGTTTCATACATGCATAAGTGTTCAGAAGCATTTACCAGTGAGGCTTTCCCGACTCCAAGTTCACTTCGCAGGAAAGTTTTAAATTATGAGTCAATGTATTTAATATACGTGACAGGTCAGAGTTTCAGGTTTCATACACATATGAGTGAAATCACACGACTCTTGTCCTTTTCTGCCTGCGTTATTTCACTTAGCGTGCAACTCTCCGGATCCATCCCATGTTGTAGCAAATGGCAGTACTGCATCCTCTTTTTATGGCCAAGTAGTATTCCATTGTATATTTGACCACATCTTCATTCAGTCAGCCACTGAAACACACATTGGCTGCTTCTTTGTGCTCCCATTATGCGTTTCCAATATATTCATTCATGGTTCTTAATTGTCCATTTCATAGGTCTGATGTGTAATATTTACATTATCATTCAGTTAAAGCATTCTCTTATTTCCGTTTTGGTACTAAAGTCACACATGGATTATTGATAAGTCTCTCTGTGTGTGCTTTTTTTTAATTACAAAAAAATAGAGATATTATTTATCTTCAATTGTAGAATCTGGTGACTCCCAGTGGGTCCCAGAAGCTGCTGGTGGCCACACGTGGGCTCCAGGCTGGCTGTGGTCATGAGCTAAGTGTCTATAAGAGCAGTTCCCATGTCTTCTGGTGGGGGGGTCCCTGCCCCTCCTTGGAATGTGGGGTCTCCCCTTTAGGCTAGTGGATGGCGAGAGCAGCATACACACTGGGCTCATCTGGGGGCTCCTCTGATGGGGAGGAAGAGAGTGTGCATGTCTTCCTTCTGAGGGTCGAGGGGTTCAGATGGGCATAGGTCACATCTTGGGGGATGTCAGATACAGCAGCCTGGAGCAGGGGAGGGGAAAAGAGAAAGATGACACTTGGTTGGGGTTAGGGGAGCCTTAGAGGTCTGGCAGAGAATGGGACACACGGGAATGTCTACCTGTCTGTCCTCTTCTGTTTGTCTGCCCTTTGTGTCCAGCAGTTCCTGTGTCAGGGAGGAAGGAGAGGTGGCCATTTCCTGCCGGGTTCCTGGTCTTGAGTGGCTTACATGGGGGCCATCATCCTGCCTGGTCTGAAGGAGACAGTGAGACAGAATAGTCTCCCTCTATTCCACAGTAGAAATCCTCCTGTCAATCATCCTTATGTTGCCAATCATCCATCTCCTGGTGGAATCGGCAGGGCCTTCCCGAGCCTTGGGGCCTCTGGATGCTTCTGTGGTTCTGACTCTCATCCTAACGCGCTCTCTCTCGCTCACTGGGCCCCAGCCTCATGGTCCCTCCTCCTGAAGAAACAGGCCCTGCCTGTTTCCCTGTCCCCCACCATGCACTCTATCCCCTCCTCTTGCTTTATGTTTCTCCACAGCACTGTGCTCTCTGGGACACTGTCTGCTTGTTTGCATATTGTCTCCCTAGCCCACACGTGAGCTTGAGGCGTGTGGACACAGTGGCTCAGGGCGGCACCGTGTTCCCTAAATGGAGCCGGTACAGTGTGCCCCTCACATCTGCTGGGTGAATGAATGAAGGAGTCACTCATTCCTGCCTCCTCCTGAGACCTGGGGTTGCACAAGGTCAGACAGAGTACGAAGGGCCAGCAAAGGGGGCCCTGTAGGAGGGGGTATGAGGTCACAGGTAAACCAGGAGGAGTGAGTCACAACAGGACCACCTGGGGGCCCAGAGGGGAGGTCAGTGTGGACGCTGCTGAGAAACAGGTGAGGTGGGACAGGGAAGGGTCCACTGGATTAAACTGGGCAACAGAAGGTCCTTGTGGCCTGGACAGGAGCAGGGGTCTCACCCGAGGGTACAGCTCCATGCTCTTCCCAGGTGGGTCCTTCATGGCAGCATCTGCTGGGGAAGAACAGGGGGTGTCTCCTGGAAGGTCCCCGAGATCTCGGGGCTGCAGACACTGCCTGCTCCCAGATGGGCTACTAACCCAGGGTGAGGTGCAGAGCCAGGTCAGGCAGTGTGCATCTCAGTCCTTCTCACCCTTGGCCCTGCAGCCTCCCATCTGATCCCTCCCCCATCATCTCCCCAAAACCCTGTGACACCCCCGCCCAGGCAGCTGTCTCTTCCTCTCACAGAGGTGCTCTTCCTGGGTGTCCACAGCTGGGCTGGAGCTGGGGTGGGGGTGGGGGGAGAAGACAGGAGAGTTAGGGGCAGAGCTGGGTCACAGGATGTGGATGTTTGGGGACTTTAGGGCAGGAATTACCTGATCTGCTGGCCTCTGTCCTTGGGCTCTGGGTGTGTGGTCCCTGCAGGAGGTTGGACATGAGCCCCTCTCTGGGCTGATCAAGAGGGAGAGTCTCAGCCCTGGGAGGTTAGAAACAAACCCTCCCGCCCCGTCCCACCCCACCCCACCCCATGATTCCACTGAAAACGAGGAAACCTTAACATACCGTGTGTGTAAGTTTCCTACTGCATGGCGTTGACAATAATGAAAGGTTAGCTTAGATACAAACACCTGTGCTGACATTGAGTGCTTTCTTTCTACGTTTTCTGGTTTGAGCTTCTGGAGAAATCCTTTTCCCAGCTCACCTTCTGCATCTATTTGGTTTCCTGTGGCAGGTGCTCTGAGTCCCTCTCCCTCCTGTGCCCCAGGTCACCCCATTCCCTACTCACCCGACATCCTGCCTTTACTCTGACATCGGTGTCGGAGGAGGAAGAATAGGAGGAGGGAGAGCAGCAGGACCAGGGCCACCGAGACCCCGATCAGGATGTTCATGTTCCATTTGGGACCTTGGGCAGGAGTGACGTCATGAATGAACCAGTAAAGCCATTGAATGAGCACCTACTGTGTGTGAGGCTCATGCTGGGGCCTGTCACTCATCTCCTCTCACCTCACACAGTCATGCACCAGGGATTGATAACCCCATCACCCACTTCACTGAGGCTCAGAGAGGTTAACCACGTGCTCCAGGTCACACAGCCTGGATGGGGTGGAGCTGGAAGCCAGGACTGTGGGTTCCCTGTGCTGGCCTCACGCTGCCCCAAGGGGGACACCAGCTTCATGCTCTGGGCTCCTCCTTTGCAGGGGCCTGTCCACGTCTCATCTGGAGCTGAAGGTCCTTTCTCATTTCCTGCCCCCAACACAGCAGGGACAGGAGGGCCGGGTGAGGGGTGGACTCTGAGTCTCTCCTGGATCCCACTCCATCTTGCAGGCCCTGATGCCCCCTTGGGAAGATGCAGCTGGGCTGCGGGCTCTGCCTTCCTGTGCTCTGTGAGGCCCTTATGTCACGTCATCTCCCAGGATGGGACCAGGGACGAGCAGACAGGAACCTGACACTCAGAGGAGAGAAGGGACCCCCAGCCCCACAGCAGGAGCAGCAGAGCCAGGGGCTGAGCCAGGGCTGATCCACCCTGTTCCCTCCTCTGAGCTGAGCCTGAGCTGTAGGGTAGGACTTGGGGCCCAGACAATTGTCCTGCCCGTTCCTCCCTGTACAGTGTCACTGTCACTGAGATAGAGGGGACAGGCCCCATAACATCATGTCCTGACGGTTTCCCTGTGAGGCCCCTCTCCCAGGAGGTCAGGGCCAGAACCGACAGGAAATCTAAGCTCTGGACAAGGATTCTCTCCTTTTACACCTGGAGACACCGAAACCCAGACAGGGGAAGGGTGGGCCAAAGTCAGTGTCTCTCAAGGGTTGTAAATCTTTTCATGTCTCAGTCCCTGTTCCCCATGGAGGGAACCACAACCTCCCTATCAAGAACCTCATTTAAGCTGAAACCGGTTTGGCTCAGTGGAGAGAGTGTCAGCCTGTGGACTGAAGGGTCCCGGGTTCATTCCGGTCAAGGGCATGTACCTTGGTTGCGGGCACATCCCCAGTAGGGGGCGTGCAAGAGGCAGCTGATTGATGACTCTCTCTCATCGATGATTCTGACTATCTCCCTTCCTCTCTGTAAAAAAATCAATAAAATATATATTTAAAAAAAGAAAAAAAAAAAGAACTTCGTTTAAGCCTCTGTGGGCCCAACTCAATGGGGCAAAGGGGACCGATCCTCAGAGCCTCCTAAGGATCAGGATGAATGAGGGTTTGGTGCTGCCTTCTCCCAGTTGAGTCCAGCCCTCCCTCCAACTCTCCCTCCCCCATAATTCCCTCTGCCATGACCACCCACCTGTCTCCTGCCTCACTTCCCTCTCTTAGGCCTGATTCTGTGGTGGAGGAAGGGTGAATTTTCAGAGTCCCTGGAGGCCTGTGGTCCCCCTGAAATATCTCCTGGAATCCTTGCCACATCCTGCATCCCTCCCCTGGGACATAAGCCTATCTTAGGTGCCAGGAGGGCATTAGGTCCTCTGAGAGACTCAGAACTGCCCTGAGGTGCTCTAGCTTCCTTTGAGCAGAAGGGACCCAGGGGCTTATCAGCTGTGGACATGGGCCCTGTGGGTGGGGTGCTAGGGTCCCAGAGGTTCCTGGGAAGGAAGACAGAAGAGGATAAGAATCTGGGATGGACCCTGGAGACCCCACCTCACTCAAACTCCTTCTGCATCTGCACTGTGACCACTCAAACCCTCCCACTACCCACCTGGCACCTTCAGGATTGAGGTGAGGGGGCGGGGTGCATGGGACATTGGGAAGGGTCTCAAGTGCAAATGCCTTCTGGGTGACCATCCCTAGTGTGCCCCCACTCCATTCCAGCCCATGATTGTTCTGAGGATAGAACCCTGAGCTGACAGCTCAGCAGACAGGGTCAGGGGCCCTCACCTGAGACCAGAAGCTCCAGGGGCTCACTGGGGTGTGAGAGCAGGAAGGGGGAGGAGCTGAGTGAGCTGTAGCACCTGTAGGTTCCCCTATGGGCTGAGGTCACAGGACTCATGGAGAACTCTGCCTGGTACTGCCAAGCTAGGTGCTCTGCTTTCAGACTCAGTGGGGGATCGGCTGCCCCCTCCTTAGACAGAAGGAAAGTGTCCGTGTGGCTCTGTGACTGACACAGCAGGGTCACGTTCTCTCCTGAGGCCACGCTGGGGCCTGGCTGCACCGAGAGGGAGGGTGTGTCAGACAGCCATCCTAGAGAGAAAGAGGGAGGGAGAGTGAGGGCTGCTTGTCCCACTTGTTCTGCCCTGAGAGTCACCAGGCCTCTCTCTGAGGACTCTCCTATCTGTCTGTCTCTGCTTCTCTGAGTCTCCACTCTCCCCTCCCACCCACTGCCTCTCTGTCTCTCTCCCTCCCTGGGGCCTACACTTTCACTCTGGCCTCACCACCTGAGACACCCCCACCCTCAGCAGGGCCTGTGCAGTCTGGGTCCCTGAATGAACCCAGTGACTCCTCACCTGACACCAGGATGTCCAGGGGGTCGCTGGGGGCTGACCACTCAGAGGAGAGGTTGTATCCACCGTAGCATCGGTACTGCCCTCCCTGGGAGCTTCTCACAGTGCCCAGGGGAAAGTGGGCCTGAGAGAGCCCAGCCTGGGGCTGCAGGGCAAGGCTCTGGGGGAGGTCCCGTCCCCGCTCCTTGTGCAGAGCGAATCTGTCATAGCCGACATCAGAGCGACACTGGAGGGTCAGGCTCTGTCCAGAGGCCACGATGGGGCCCTGCTGGCTCAGGAGGGAGGGCTTCCCAGACTCACCTGGGGAGACCATATGTGAATTGCAAGGGCTGCTCCTCCCATAAACCCTTTTACCTCTCCTGGCCCCCAGGTCTCGTTGTCTCTCTCTGTGTCTCCGGTCCAGGAGCCTCTGTACCTCCCCACCCGTCATCTCTCACAAGGGGCTTCCCTTCCAGCAAAGAAGCCAATAATGTGTCTGGTGCCTCAATCCATGGATGTGACAATAATGGGACTCACCTGAGACCAGCAGCTCTAGGGGCTCACTAGGATATGACCACACGTGGGGTCTGTGCCTGTCGCAGCCATAGCATCTGAAAGTCCCCCTGTGGCTGGGGGTCAAGGGGCCCACAGGGAACAGGGCCTGAGTCTTCTCATTGGCGTATTGTGAGTCCAGGGCCCAGGAGAGCCTGTGAGCTCCTTCCTTAGTCAGAATGAACCTGCCAAATCCCTGCCATGAGCTACAGTGGAGGGTCACGTTCCCTCCTGAGGGCACGACAGGGCTGGGCAGGGCTGAGAGGCGGGGTTCGCTGTAGTATCCTAGGAGAGGAGGAGGTAGTGTGTTAAATGGGCCCACACCTTCCTCATGTCCCCCAGGGCTAGAATGTGAGAGGGAGACACCCTGAGAGCAGACCCCGTTCCTGAGGGCAGAGCCTGAGGTTGGGGCCGCTGAGTGTCCTCTCACCTGTCACCACCAGCTCCAGGGGGTCACTGCGCTCTGACCAGCCAGCAGGGCTGTTATAGTAACAGCGATATCTCCCTGCATCGTGCTCCGTCATGTGTCTGATGGAGAACTTGGCCTTGTCCTCAGGCTCCAGTAGATCCCGCCATTTCGATGGTGCTGGGCTTCCCTCTCTAACCAGACGAAACTCCTCAGCCCCTGGGGTCCCCTGACACCATATGGTCACGGGGTTCCCAGAATGGATCACAGGGCCTGGCTCAGCTCTGATGGTGGGTTTGGGGAGGGTCCCTGGAAGGAAGCCAGTAGCTGGGTTTTAAGACATTCCCACCCTCAGTTCAGAGCTCTCAGCCAAGGACTTTCCCCAACGTTCCCCGTCTGTCAGCCCAGAACTGCTCTTCTCCATCCCAGGCTGCCTGTGGTGTGGTCCCTCTTCCACAGCGAAGAGTGGGACCTGGGACACCTGGGGAGACTCACCTGCCTGCACTGAGGTCCTGAGGCCCACACACAGCCCTGGAAGAGAGTCCCTGTGAGAGATTTGCCCTGAACCCTGAGCAGCTCCCTCCTCCCCATGAGCCCCCTGAGTCCTGGGTCCTGACAGACCAGGGCTCCCCCCCCCCCCAATCTCACCGAGGCAGAGCAGGGCCGTGAGGGTAGGGGTCATGGTGTCTCCTCTCTCTGTACCGTGCTGAGCTAATGGAAGAGGCCACGGTGTCCTCTGCACAGACAGACACAAAGGGTGTGGCCCTCGGAGGCGGGCCTTCCTGGTCACAGGCTCTCATGTCAACAGCCCCACAGAAAGAGGAACATTCCCTTCCCAGAGCCTGCTTCTGGTTTCCATGGTGAAGCAGGATATAGATCTGCAGAGTCCTGAGATTCGCCTTGCAGGTGCGGTGGCCCAGGGTCAGAGCCTCCCCCACGGGGTTTCCTTCCTCCCCAGCCCATCCATCAGCACCTCCCTGGGGTCCTCACCATGGACAGTGCCACCCGGGCCCTGGAGACGCTTCAGGAAGACGTGGGCCCCTGGGGCCTGCAGAGCTCAGATCAGCAGGGACACATTCACCCTCTCCGTGTGCAGCTCAGGGCGATGTCCCTGTGACAGTGAGCACAGAAGGAAATGCAGGGCAATAAGGGAAGGAAAGACGTCTCTTCCGGCCCTGAGTGTGGCTTCTTCTTCTTCTTCTTCTTCTTCTTCTTCTTCTTCTTCTTCTTCTTCTTCTTCTTCTTCTTCTTCTTCTTCTTCTTCTTCTTTTTTTTATCACAGCCTCCCTCTTGGACCTCTCTCTCTTATCCTTGGCCACAGCATCTACTGAAACTTCTTGGGGACAAGCTTCTGAGTCATACTTCCTCCTTAGTGCCCCTCATTTCCTGTGTTAAAGTCTCCCCTTCAACCTGTGGTCCAGCCTTCAAGCATTAGGGCACGTTGATTTGGGTTATAGTTCTGATTTTGACTTAAATAAAATAAAATATGTATTAATTATGTAATATATTTACTTAGTTATGTTTTAGTATTATTTTTTCGCTGCCTACAACAGACCCTAGAAGCTCTCATTAAGATCCTTGAGCAACCTTATAACCATTATTTTGAATTCTGTATCAAGTAGTTTGTTTGCTTCCCTATCATTAAGTTCTTGAAGAAGAAGAAGAAGAAGAAGAAGAAGAAGAAGAAGAAGAAGAAGAAGAAGAAAAGATAATAAATATGAGTGATAAAAAGGCAATAAATACATATCCATCAATAATTGAATCTAAAAATCAAAATAAATTAAAAAGCTGAGTGGATACAAACTCACAGATTCAGAAAACAAATTGATTCTCACCCGATGAGGGGGGGTGTGGGTGATGGTTGAAAAAAGTGAGGGGATTAAAAAGCACAAATCGGTTGTTACAGAAGAGTCATGGGAATGTATGTACAGCATAGAATAATTATAGTCAATAATATTCCAATATCTATGTATGGTGTCAAGATGGATATAAGATTTATCAGGATGATCACTTAGGAAATTATATAATGTCTCATCACCAGGGTGTACACCTGAAACTAATATTGAATTGTATATCAACTGTAGTTGAATAATAAAAAAATGATTAGAGAACTTTAATTAAAGGTTAAAAGCTACTTGACAGAAAACTCCTACTTCAATAAGAGGTGGTAGCTATTAAAATGTTTTAACTTATTACCAAACATTAAAAGATTAATGGACTGGCTTAAGGGTTAGGTCAGAGAACACCCAACAGCAAAATCAGATGTATGCAGCCATCCAATCCGATCCCAAACAAAATCATTAAAGGGTACATTGAATAAATAACAAATGTGTATTCAATAACATTAGCTGGCTGCTATATAAATATTCAACAATATGACACAAAAATGTGTTATAAAATTCATTTTTGCTTTACAAATACTTTGCAGCAGCCACTGATCTTATGACATGTCCTTGAAGTACAAAAAGTCTGTAGATAATTGGAGACTGAACTGAACATTTATAAGATCAATGGAATGGGTGGAAAAAAAACTTTTTATAAAAACAAATGACACAAATGCTTGATCTAATGTGTACAAGTTAAAAAACTTTGTATTATACACATTATACAAAAATGCATAAAATTATTTGTAATAAATAAATAATAAAGTAATGTATGTAGCAACGGGAGGAATTTGTGTATTTAAGGCTCTTATTGTACCTACAGTATTTAGCATGTAATAGGCTAATCAGATAGTCTCTTTACATCTGTTCAAATTGTTCTCATGTACATTATGTTCCTAAGAACGTTGCAATTTAATTAAGCAGTCAGCCCTAAAAGATATGAAAAGTCTCAAACCAGCCTGAAATAAGTGACATGTGAAATCAGAAAATAGTTGCCTGAATTTATGTATGATTAGGGAAGAGAATGATGGACTTATATCATATCAAAACTTGAAAGCTGTCAGAAAGGAAGGGCAGACATCCAGAGAGACATTAGCAGGCTTGCAGAACAAGGGATTTCTACCATCATGCCTTCATTCAACATCAATTCTGACAACCACCCACAGATGAGGGTTCTCCTGTGGAAGTGTGGGAGTCTAGCAGAGAAGGTAGAACACTTGGCCAGAGCAAAATTTTGAGAATATACTCATGAAAGAGGATATGAAGAAGAGTTTCTTTCGGAACCAATCCCAATCTTTGATCCACTCCAGAGGTGTGACAGAACACCACCACTTGATGGATGTGAACCCCATCTCTGAAATCACGCCCCCACATCCACAATGCTGGGCTTGACAACAATTCAGATTCTAGGGCCATGGTGGGGCCGAAGCTCTCATGGGCCTCGTTCAAATTCTCTTTTTTAAATATACTTAAAAAAAAAATTATTGATTTCTGAGAGGAAAGAAGAGGGAGAGGGAAATGAGAGCATCATTGTTGAGAGAATCATTGGGAAGCTGCCTCCTGTATGCCCCCTCCTGAGGATCAAGCCCTCAAACTAGACACGTGCCCTTGACTGGATTAGAACCCAGGACCCACCAGTTTGTACTCCCATGTTCTATCCAATAAGCCAAACCGGCTAGGGCCCAGTTTAAATTCTGAATGGCATCTCAGGTGCTATTGGCCATTTGCTTCCTTCAGGGCCCCAGTTTCTCACCTGGAAAGACTCCCTGTAGGATTGGACTCAGGTGGGGCTGATGAGACAGGTGAGGCCATGGGTGTGGAAAACACAATGTGGACATGGGAAGGGTTTGCTGCACGTGATCAACAACCACGTAGTGGTAGATGTGATTACTCGTGAAGGGTGTGGCTGTCCCCCCCCACCCCAGTTCGTCTGCACCCCACTAACTTGTGTGGGAAATAATGAGGGTCATAGAACAGAAATGCTCTATCTGTGAGTAGTGACTAGTAGACTTATGAGTCATCAAATGAACATTGAGAAAAAAGTGGCCATGATTCCAGAAGACTCTGTGGTTTCCATCCTGAACAAAACCTGCCAACATTTTCTAACTTGTAACCATCACCATGGATTTTCTGGAATTCCTTTATTTCTTTTATTTGTGTGGTTTATCTTAGTTATCTGTTCCTAAATAATACACAATGTCTTCTTTTCTTTAATGTCTCTTTTTTATTTTTCCTTTTATTTCTTGAAGGTTTTTCTTTCTTTTGTTTCTTTAATTAATTTCTTTATTGATTAAGGTATCACATATTTGTCCTCAATCCCCCATTCCAATCCCCCACTCCCCTCCCCACTCTTGTCCCCACCCCCCTATTGTTCTTGACCACTGGTTAGGCTCGTATATGTGCACATAAGTCCTTTGGTTGATCTCTCCCTTTTACTCCTCACTCCCTTTGAGTCCAAACAGTCTGACCCATGGCTCCTTATCTCTGGGTCTGTTCTTGTTCATCAGTCTATGTTGTTCACCATGCCTTTCAGCATAAAGATTATTGCTTTTCTCATTTTTGATTCTTATAAGTATATCCAGTAGGACACAATCTCACTCATCTAATGTCCCCCTTTAAATGTTGGGTAAATAGAATAGTTCCAAACACACAGTTTTATTTTCTTCTACCTGTATTAGCTATGATGTGTGAAAGTGGATATATGATACATGACCTTTGTGATTTCAATTTGTACGTGTTGGTTGACATAAACCATCTGAATTTTTACACATAACACCGACGTTTCTCTTTTCTTTTCTGATGCATGTAGTTTTATAGTAGTTTTCTTGATGGAGAGGGTTGGGAAAAAGAATAACTCTTTTCAATGTCCTTGTGTATGGTGCACATGTGCATATTTTCTCTATGATATGTCCTTAAAGTTGAAGCTGTGTGTCCCTAACTAGATGAGTGTCATGTAGTCTCTGAATTGTTGAATACAATTGATACTCCTACAAGTCATGCAGTAGGATTCTATGGACTCACGATTCTCTCCCACAAGTGATATTAAGACATTCCATTGTGCATCTCACCTGGATAGGTGGGGATTGTGCTCTTGTGTTTTCACAGGAACCGTGCCCAAACCTTCAAGTAGAAACCATCGTGACACATCGACGGGAAGAGGCATAGACACACTGTGGGGCGATCAATGTAGTGTTAACGTTGTCCCACATCGGCTTGTACCGCTTTGTGAAAGACAGTTTGTGCATCACATCCCAAGTCTGCGTGAGGACCTCACATGGGCACTTGACCTTGGCCATGAAGGGGGCATATACACCAGAGGAAATGGCAAATGACAGGAATGAGTGATTTTTTTATATTAAATTTATTGGGGTGCCATTGGTAAATGACATGACATAGGTTTCAAGGGGGCACGTGTGTAACACATCATCTGTGTGTTGTACTGTGTTGTGGACAATGGGGTTTTCAGGGGCACGTGTGTAACACATCATCTGTGTGTTGTACTGTGTTGTGGACAATGGGGTTTTCAGAGGCAGTACAGTCCAGGCAACCCCTTCAAACAACCAGGTCTCCATCCCAAAGGTTGAGGCTTCTGCAGAAAGCACACAGGTGGCCTCAGAGGCAAGTGAGGGGCGTGTGGATCTCCTGTGGAGTTCTCTCTTACAGGATGGATTGTGTGCTCTGTAGATGGGTGACAGTAGATGGCATGCTCTGAACTCAGGTGAAGAGGACTCCATATAGACACGAAAGTCCATGTAAATAGAAATAAAAGAAAATGTATTCCATGAAAGTGTAGGGATTTGTGGGATGTTCCTACTCTATGGGATAAATGCTAATTTCACCAAAATGGGGAGAGTCAGGAACCAGGAACAGGCCTCACTGTGGTCAGGAGGGGAAAGGCCACAGTTCAAGGGCAGAAGGTTCAGACCTTGTTCCTGCACATGAGTGATGATTCCTCCACCTGCAAGGCGCAGCAGACAGGTCCCTCAGCATATGTATCACATGATCGTCCAGAACTTCCCCAAGATACCCCTCTCTGAACCATGCATTGTTCCCCTCCTTGTTCACATCCTGGCTGCATCCTGGGTCTGATTCTGGCTGTTTCGAGACCAAAATAGCAGCACCCCGAGTGCCATCAGGACCAATCCAGCCACGCCCATCCGGATGGAATTCTCCACGGTGTAGTCTTGGCGGTGGGCGGCTGGGAATTGTAGGGAAAAGGGGTCACAGGGGTCAGGGCAGGACGAGCTCACCCCAGGGCCCTAGATGTCCACCCAGGGAATCCTCTCCCCTTCACAGGACATGAACCCATAAAAGAACTTGTCTCCTACTCACCACTCTTGGGGTCTGAGTTATTCTGTGAGGGGCTGATGGTGTCAGCTGCTCCTGAGAATCAGAAAGGAGTGGGGCTGTGTGAGGAGTTGATGCCACTCAAGCCCAGGGTCCCCATAACTGTCCCCTTTCTCGTGACCTAACTGCTACCAGTCCCTCCATGAACCCTTTCTCTGCTGGAGAAGGGTCCTGGCTGCTTTCATGGATTCTTTCAGGCTCTCTGGAAAACTTGAGTTTAGACTTTGCTTCTGAGTCACTTTGGAGGCTCATGATTTGGAAAATAGTGAGCCTTTAGTTATTTAAAATTCTCACCGGAGGTAATTTTTTTCCCATTGATATTCAGAGAGAGTAAAAGGGATGAGGGGATGAAGAGAGAGGGAGAGGAAGAGAAATACATTGATGTGTGAGAGACCCATGGATCAGTTGCCTCCTCCACAAGGCCTGTGGAGGGACTAGGAATCAAACCTGTGATCCATTGACTGGGAATCAAACCCTCGGCACTGTGTGGGGCGTGCAGAGGCAGCTGATAAATGATTCTGTCTCATCATGGATGTTCCCTCTCCCTTCCTCTCTAAAATCAATGAAAATGCATTTTTAAAAATTTAATGTTTTGAAGCTACCTATATCATAAAAGGATAATATGCAAATTGAATGAATGGTGGAAGGACTGGCACTATATTGCACACTGACCAACAGGGGGCAGACACTCAATACAGGAGCTGCCCCTTGGTGGTTAATGTGCTTCCACAGGGGGAGCTCCACTTAGCCAGAAGGCCTGAGCCAGGCTTCGGGAGGGACCCTGGACTGCATGAGGCTGTGGGCCAGGCTGAGGGACCCACCCAGTGCACAGATTTCATGCATCACGCTTCTATTCTTTTATAAGAAACTTCAAGTAAACAAACACTGGTTCTTCATAATAAATACATAAATTTAATATGATCTCAGTTAAAATAAGAATAAATCTATGTTCTCGAAGGCATGAATGCTTGCAGATTAAAATGATATATGCAAGTATTGCCTACAACTTCCCAGCAGAAAAGCATTAACAGAGAGATAGGCACAGAAAACACAGAGAGCAAACGGGAATTTCACACAGAGTCTGGGCAGGAGCCCCCAGTTCCTCATGAGCCCTCCATGGTCCTCCTGAGTCTCAGGTGAGCACTGAGGGCCTGGAGGTCGCCAGGGGGACACAGGGCCTTGCAGAGCGGTGCTCACAGGTGGGGACACTACTCACTGCAGCAGGGTGTCCAGTGGGGACGGCACCATCACCCACAGCAGGTGCCACCTTGGCCAGAGAAGCCACCTGTCCTGCTCTGAGAAGGCTCAGGGCTCCACCTGTGTGGTGAGGGTTTCCACCCAAGGGGCTCTGGAAATGAGCAGCTGAGGGAGTGTCCCCCTGTCCTCTCTCCACCTCTCTGGCCTCTCACCCCACATCAGCTTGGGCCTGCCCCCACATCTCCCTCTGCCATGACCACCCCACCTATCACCTGCCTCACTTCTCCCTCTTAGGCCTGACTCCATGGGGTGGGGGTGAATCCTCAGAGATATTGGAACCCTGTAGTTCCCCGAAATTTCTCCAGGACTCCTAGCTCCCTGGGGCACAAATAGTCTTAGGCATTGTGGGGGGAGGGGGGGCGGGAAGGGCGGGGGGTGACATTAGATCCTCTAAGAGACTCAGAAATGCACTGGAGTGAGCAGTGCCCTCTCTGAGCAAAGGGGACCCAGAATTCATGAGCTGTGGACATGGTCCCTGTGGGTGGAGAGGTGGGATCCCAGAGGGTCTTGGGAGGGAGGACAGCAAGGGTGAGACTTGGGGGCCACCCTGGAGTCCCCACCTCACTCAGATCCTCCTGCCTCTGCCCTGTGGCCCTTAGGCCCTTCCACTATCCACCTGGAACCTTCTGAACCCAGGTGATGGGGAGGGCTGAGCAGGGGCAGGCGGGTCTCTGAGTGTCAGATCTCCTCCGGATGTCCATCCCTAGAGCCCCTTCGTCCCTCTCAGGCCATGATTGTTCTGAGAGAAGACCCAGAGCTGACAGCTCAGCAGACAGGGTCAGGGCTCCTCACCTGAGACCAGGAGCTCCAGGGGCTCACTGGGGTGTGAGAGCAGGAAGGGGGAGGAGCTGAGTGAGCTGTAGCACCTGTAGGTGCCTCGGTGGGCTGAGGTCACAGGACTCATGGAGAACTCTGCCTGGTACTGCTGAGCTCGGTGCTCTGATCTCAGATGCAGGGGAGGATCGGCTGCCCCCTCCTTAGACAGAAGGAAAGTGTCCGTGTGGCTCTGTGACTGACACAGCAGGGTCACGTTCTCTCCTGAGGCCACGCTGGGGCCTGGCTGCACCGAGAGGGAGGGTGTGTCAGGCAGCCATCCTAGAGAGAAAGAGGGAGGGAGAGTGAGGGCTGCTTGTCCCACTTGTTCTGCCCTGAGAGTCACCAGGCCTCTCTCTGAGGACTCTCCTATCTGTCTGTCTCTGTTTCTCTGAGTCTCCACTCTCCCCTCCCACCTGTTGCCTCTCTGTCTCTCTCCCTCCCTGGGGCCTACACTTTCACTCTGGCCTCACCACCTGAGACAACCCCACCCCCAGCAGGGCCTGTGCAGAGTCTGGGTCCCTGAATGAACCCACTGGCTCCTCACCTGCCACCAGGATGTCCAGGGGGTCGCTGGGGGCCGACCACTCAGAGGAGAGGTTGTATCCACCGTAGCATCGGTACTGCCCTCCCTGGGAGCTTCTCACAGTGCCCACGGGGAAATGGGCCTGAGAGAGCCCAGCCTGGGGCTGCAGGGCAAGGCCCTGGGGGAGGTCCCGTCCCCCCTCCTTGTGCAGAGCGAATCTGTCATAGCTGACATCAGAGCGACACTGGAGGGTCAGGTTCTGTCCTGAGGCCACGATGGGGCCCTGTTGGCTCAGGAGGGAGGGCTTCCCAGACTCACCTGGGGAGAGCAGACATGAATGACAGGGTCTGCTTCTCCCATAACCCCATTCTCTCATGCTGGCTCTCTGTGTGTGTGTCTTGTCCAGGAGCCCCGTAGTCCCCTCACCCATATGCTCTCACATGAGGCTCTCCTCCCAGAAAAGATGGCAACAATATATGCGGGACCATGTATGGGACCAGGAGGGTACTCACCTGGGATCAGGAGCTCCAGGGCATCACTGGGGAGTGACCACACCTGGGGGTTGTCCCTGTAGCAGCCATAGCATCTGAACCTCCACATGTGACTGGAGGTCACAGGATCCACAGGGAAAAGGGCCTGGGACCCTCCACTGGGCTGTGGCTGTGAGTCCAGGGCCCAGGAGAGCCTGTGATCTCCTTCCTTAGTCAGAAGGAACCTGTCAAATCCCTGCCTTGAGCCACACTGAAGGGTTACGTTCCCTCTTGAGGTCATGACAGGGCTGGGCAAGGCTGAGAGGCTGGGTCTGATGTACAATCCTAGGAGAGGAGGAGAAAGCCTGTTAAATGGGGCTCACACCTCCCACATGCCCCCCAGGACTGGGCTGTGAGAGGGAGACAGCTGAGAGCAGACCCCCCCTTCCTGAGGACAGAGCCTGAGGCTGGGACCCCTGAGTGTCCTCTCACCTGTCACCACCAGCTCCAGGGGGTCACTGAGATCTGAACGGCCAGTGGAGCTGCCATAGTAACAGCGATATATCCCTGCATCCTGCTCTGTCATGCGTGTGATAGAGAACTTGGCCTTGTCCCCAGGCTCCAGTAGATCCATTCTTTTCCATGGTGCTGGGCTTCCCTCTCTATCCAGATGGTACTCCTCAGCCCCTGGTGTCCCCTGACACCAGATGGTCACGGGTCTCCCAAAAGGGATCACAGGGCCTGGCTCAGCCCTGATGGTGGGTTTGGTGAGGGGTCCTAGAAAAAAATCAGTAGCTGGGTTCTAAGACATTCCCACCCTCAGTCCTAACTCTCAGCTCAGGACCTTCCCAGGTGTTATTTGTCTGTTACCTCAGAGCACTGTCCTTCTGCTGCTACCTATGGGGTGGCCCTTGTGCCCAGGGAGGAGCGGGACCTGGGACACCTGGGGAGACTCACCTGCCTGCACTGGGGTCCTGAGGCCCACGCTCAGCCCTGGAAGAGAGTCCCTGTGAGAGATTTGCCCTGAACCCTGAGCAACACCCTCCTCCCCATGAGCCTCCTGAGTCCTGGGGTCCTGACGGACCAGGACTCCATTCACCCTCCCATCTCACCGAGGCAGAGCAGGGCCTTGAGGGTGAGAGTCATGGTGTCTTCTCTCTTTGCACCGAGCCATGCAGATACAGGAGGCCAAGGTGTCCTCTGGACAGACAGATACACAGAGGGTGGCCGCTGGGAGTCTGGCCCTCCCTATGATGAGGTTTTCACATCAGCAACCCCAGAAAAGGGAATATTCCCTTCCCAGAAGCCTGCATCTGGTTTCCATGGTGAAGCACGAAATACACAGAGAGATTCCTGAGACGCCCCTGGCAGGTCAAGTGACCCAGGGCACGTCCTTACCGGTCAGAGCCTCCCCCACGGGGTCTCTTTCCTCCTCAGCCCATCCATCAGCACCTCCCTGTAGTCCTCACCATGGAGAGTATCTCCCAGGCCCTGGAGACGCTTCAGGAAGACGTGGGTCCCTTTGGCCTGCAGAGCTCAGATCAGCAGGGACACAATCACCCTCTCCCTGTGCAGCTCAGGGCGATGTCACCTTGACACTGAGCATGGAGGGAAATGCAGGGAAATAAGGGAAGGAAACAAGTCACTTCTCCTGGCCCCAGAGTGTGGCTTCATTCCTATCATAACCACTTTTCTTCTTCTTCTTTTTTTTCTGTCACAACATCAACGGCACTTTCTTGGGGACAAGCTTCTGAGGCAATTTTCCTCCTCAGTGCCCCTTGTTTCCTGGGGTTAAAGTCTCCTCCCCATCCCATGGTCCAGCCTTCAAGCTTTATGATACTGATTTAGAGTAGAGTTCTGATTTTGACTTAAAACAGAATATTTATTTATTTATTCATATTTATTATTTTTGTTGTTTACATGAGACCCACTTTTTTTTTTTAAATGCTTACTGTTGAAAGTATTACAGATATCACACTTTTCCTCACTATTGTGCCCCTCCACCTGGTTCCTGCCCTGTCCCAAGCCTTCATTACCCCATTAGCTGTGTCCATTGGTAATACACATGTTCCTATAAGTTCTTTGGCTAATGTCTTTCTGACCCCTGCCCTCTTCCCTCTGAGATTCATCAGTCCATACCTCAAGTTTTCTTTTATTTTCATCAGTTTATTTTGTTCATTAGATTTCTGAATCGTTTATTTTGATTTTTAGATCAATTGTTGATAGATATGTATTTATTGCCATTTTCTTGTTTCTTATTCTTTTTTTCCTTCTTCTTCTTCTTCTTCTTCTTCTTCTTCTTCTTCTTCTTCTTCTTCTTCTTCTTCTTCTTCTTCTTCTTCTTCTTCTTCTTCATCTTCTTCACATTTCATATTAGTTTGGTGGCGATGAAGTCCTCTAGCCTTTTATTCTTTGTGAAGCTCTTTATCTGACTTCCAATTCTAAATGAGAGCTTTGCTGGGTAGTGTAATCTTGGTTGTAGATCCTTGCTATGTATCACTTTGAGTATTTCATGCCATTTCCTTCTGGTCTGTAAACGTTGTGTTGAGAAATCAGCTGACAGTCATATGGGCAGTATCTTGTAGATAACTGCGTTTCTCACTGCTTTTAAGATTATATCTTTTTCTTTAACCCTTGGAATTTTAATTATGTTGTGTCGTGGTGTAGGACTCTTGAGGTTCCTTTTGTTTGGGACTCTCTGTGATTCCTAGACTTGTAAGTCTATTTCTTTCACCAGGTAGGGGAAGATTTCTGTCACTGTTTCTCCCAATAGCATTTCCATATCTTGTTTTGTCTCTTCCCCTTCTGGCACCTCCATTATGTGAATGTTGCTATGCTGGAAATTGTTCCCGAGGCTCCTTAGACTATCATTTTTAGATTCTGTTTGCTTTTCTGATTGGGCGTTTTATGCTCCCTCATATTTCAAATTGCTGATTTAATTCTTGACATCCTGTACTCTGCTGATGAAACCTTGTAAATGATTCTTTATTTCAGTGAGTGTATGTATAATTTCTAATTGGTTCTATTTAGTGTCTTTGATGTTCTCACTAAGATTCTTGAAATTCTCATTAAGCCCCTGGAAGCTCTCATTAAGATCCTTGAACAACCTTATAACCATTGTTTTGAACTCTGCATCTAGTAGTTTGTTTGCTTTCATTTCATTTAGTTCTTTTCCTGGAAATTTCTTCCCTTCCTTCATATGGGACATGTTTCTCTGTCTCTGCATTTGTGCTACTTCCCTGTGCTTGTTTCTAGGTATTATGTAGAGCTGCTATGTTCCCTGGAATTGGCAGGGTGACCTTCCATAGTAGGTATCTTATAGGGCCCAGTGGCTCAGCCTCCCAAGTTACTTGACCTGGCACTCTAGGTGCACCCATGTGTGGGCTTTGTGCACTGTCGTGTTGTATCGATAGTTGAGTCTTGATTGCTATTGATAACACTGGGAGGAATTGACCTCCAGGCCAATTGGCTGTGAGGACCAGATGTAACTAAAAATGAGGAGCAGCTATGTCCGAGATACCCCTTGGAACAGGACTTGCTTCAGTGGGGCTTAGGTGATCACTGAGTCTGCTTCTTGAGTGTGTCTCTGGGGGATGTGTAGAATTGTATTATCTGAAGCTGTTCACTGGATGTAGTGGTTCTGAGGTCTCCAGGGATGTGTAAAGTGAGGCAATGCCTGGGCCACCTGACAGGAGCTACAGAGTGATCTGTAGATGGTTGCTTCTTGTGTTGGGCTTGGAAATACCCTAAAGAGGCCAAGCCATGAAACCAGGCAGGCTGCTTCTATTGCTAAGTCTTGTGTCTCCTATGAGTGTTATGTGGCAAAGGAACACCAGCTGCTGCTTGTTTGAGAGATTTTAGGAAAGACTGAGCCCTGAGGCAGGACAAGCCAATCTTAACAGCTTGGGTGAGGCTGCAAAATGGGTGGAGTGGGGTTACTACCAAAACTGTATTGCAGGAAATTTTAAAGGGTCTTCTAGAAGAAGAAGAAGAAGAAGAAGAAGAAGAAGAAGAAGAAGAAGAAGAAGAAGAAGAAGAAGAAATAAATATGAGTGATAAAACAAATATGAGTGATAAATACATATCCATCAACAATTGAATCTAAAGGTCAAAATAAATTAACAAGCTGAATGGATACCAATTCATAGACTCAGAGAACAAATTGATTCTCACTAGATGAGCCAGGAGTGGGGCTGGGTGAAAAAGGTGAGGGTATTAATAAATACAAATTGATTGTTACAGAATAGTCTATGGGAATTGTAAGTACAGCATAGAGAATATAGTCAATAATATTCCAATATCTATGTATGGTGTCTGATGGGTATAAGATTTATCAGGATGATTACTTAGAAAATTATACAATGTCTAATCACCAGAGTGTACACCTGAAACTAATATTGAATTGTGAGTCAACTGTAGTTGAAAAATTAAAAATGATTGAAAATCTTTCATTAAAGGTCAAAAGCTACTTAACAGAAAACTCCTACTTAAATAAGAGGTGGTAACTATTAAAATGTTTTATTATGAACATTAATAAATTAATGGACTGGCTCAAAGGTTAGATCAAAGGACACATCCGGGCCAGTAAAACCAGATGTATGCAGCCATACACTCTTATCCCAAACAAAATCATTAAAGAGTATGTTGTATGAATGAAGAATGTGTTATTATTATTTAATAAAATTAGCTGATTGCTATATAAACATTCAACAATATGATGCAATAGTGTGTTATAAAATTCATTTTAGTTTTTAAAATACTATATTAAAAACACTCATCACATGACCTTGACATCCATAAAGTCTGTACAAAATTGGAGAGTCAACTGAACATTTATAAGACCAAGGAAATGGATGAAAAAAGCTTTTTGTAAGAGCAAATGACAACTATGCCTGGTCTAATATATACAACTTATTAATCTTTGTATTATTTATATTATATAAATATGTACAAAGTTATTTGTAATATGTAAATAAAATAATGCAAATAGCAACAGGAAAAATTCATGTTCAAGACAAATATTTATCATTTAATTGGCTAAACCGATAGCTTCTTTACATATGTTCAAACTGCTCTTATATGCATTATGTACCCTGAGTAGGTTGCAGTTTAATTAGCAGTCAACCCTAAGAAGACATGAAAAGCCTCAAACCAGCCTGAAATAAGTGATATGCTAAGTCATAAAATAGTTGCTTGAATTTATGTATTATTAAGGAAGAGAATAATGGACTTATATCAAGACTTGGAGGCTGTCAGAAAGGCAGAGTAGACAGCCAAAGAGACATCAGGAGGATTGCATAAGCAGCGATTTCTACCATCATGCCTGAATTCTACATCAATTCTGACAACCATCCACAGATGAGGGTTTCCTTGTGGAAGTCTGGGAGTCTAGCAGAGAAGTGACAGCCCTTGGCCGGAGCACAAAAATTGAGAACAAATACATTAAAGAGCACATGAAGAATAGTCTCCATTAGAATCAGCCTCAATCTGAATCCTCTCCTGGGGTGTGACTTAAACCACCACCTGATGGTGGTAAACCCCACCTCTAAATCAGCTCAGATCCACAAAGCTGGGCTTCATGCCCAATTCACATTCTAGGGCCATTGTGGGTCAGAATCTCTCATGGGCCCAGTTTAAATTCTGAATGGCATCTCAGGTGCTATTGGCCATTTGCTTCCTTCAGAGCCCCAGTTTCTCACCTGGAAAGACTCCCTGTGGGATTGGACTCAGGTGGGGCTGATGTGACAGGTGAGGCCATGAGTGTGGAAAACACAATGTAGACATGGGAAGGGTTTGCTGCACGTGATCAACAACCACGTAGTGGTAGATGTGGTCACCCATGAAGGGTGTGGCTGTCCCCCCCGCCCCCAGTTTGTCTGCACCCCACTAACTTGTGTGGGAAATAATGAGGGTCATAGAACAGAAATGCTCTATTTGTGAGTAATGACAAGTAGACTTTTGAGTCATCCAATGATCATTGAGAAGAAGGCGGCCATGATTCCAAAAGACTCCGTGGTTTCCATCCTGAACAAAACCACCCAACATTTCCCAACTTGTAATCATCATGGATTTCCTGTAATTCTTTTCATTCCTTTATTTGTAAGGTTTATCTGAGCTATACATTCCTTAATAATACACAATGTCTCCTTTACTTTAATGTCTCCTCTTTATTTATTTTTTAAAATTTATTTTATTGATTTTTCACAGAGAGGAAGAGAGAGGAATAGAGAGTTAGAAACATTGATGAGAGAGAAACATCTATCAGTTGCCTCTTGCACACCCCTTATTGGGGATGTGCCCACCACCAGGGTACATGCTCTTGACTAGTATCAAACCTGGGACCTTTCAGTCCCCAGGCCGATGCTCTAGCCACTGAACCAAACCAGTTTTGGCAATGTCTTCTCTTTAATGTTGGGTAAATGGAATGATAAAAAAGAAACACCACAGTTTTATACTCATCTAAATGTATTAGTTATTATATTTGACAATGGATATACATGACCCTTGCAATTTCGAGTTGTGCATTTTGATTGATAGATACTATTTATTGGATAACTTTTTACACAGGACACCAAAATGTCTCTTCTCTTGTGCATATAATCTTATAGTATTTTTGGGTGGGGGGCTAATAAGAATAACTCTTGTCAATGTCCTTGTGCGTGAAGCACATGTGCACATTTTCTCCAAGCATGTACTTAAAGACGTAGCTGTATGTCTCTGACTAGATGAGTGTCATGTAGTCTCTGAATTGATGATACAATTGGCAGTCTTACAAGTCATATAGTAGGATTCTATGTTCTCATGATTCTCTCCCACAAGTGATAATAAGACATTTCTTTGTGCATTTCACTTGGATGGATGACCATTGTGGTCTTGTGTTTTCACAGAAACTGTGCCCCAACATGAAAGTAGAAACCATCGTTACACATCAACTAGAAGGGGATCTAGGGGCACTGTGGGGCGATCAATGTGGTATTAATGGTGTCTGACATCGGCTTGTACTGTTTTGTGAAAGTCAGTTTGTGTATCACTTCCCAAGTCTGTGTGAGGACCTCACATGGGCACTTGACCTTGGCCACGAAGGGGGCATATACACCTGAGAAAGTAAACTATGTCAAGAATAAGTGTTTTTATATTAAATTTATTGGGGTGCCATCGGTGAATGACATGACATAGGTTTCAAGGGTAACACGCCCTCTGTGTGTTGCACTGCGTTTTGGACAACGGGGTTTTCAGAGGCAGCACAGATCAGGCAACCCCTTCAAAGAACTAGGTCTCGATCCTAAAGGGTGAGGTTTAGGTACACAGAAAGGTCAGGTGAAGGGCAAGCGGAGTCCAGAACCAGCATTAGGACTTCCTGTGGAGTTCTCTCTTACAGGATGGATTGTGTACTCTGTAGATTGATGACAATAGACGGCATGCTCTGGACTCAGGTGATGGGGACTCTGTACAGACATGAAAGTCTTTGTAAATAGAAATACAGGAAAACATATTCCATGAAAGCATTGGGATTTGTGGGCCTCTACCCACCCTGAGGGATGGATGCAAATTTCACCAAAATGGGGAAGTCAGCAAGCAGTAACAGGCCTCAGTGGTCGGGAGGAGAAGGACCACAGTTCAAGGGCAGAAGGTCCAGACCTTTTCCCTGTATATAAGCGATGACTCCTCCACCTGCAAGGAGCAGCAAACAGGTCCCCCAGCGTATGTATCACATGATCTTCCAGAACTTTCTCAAGATCCCCCTCTCTGAACCATGCATTGTTCTCCTCCATGTTCACATTCTGGCTGCATCCTGGGTCTGATTCTGGCTGTTTCGAGACCAAAATAGCAGCACCCCGAGTGCCATCAGGACCAAGCCAGCCACGCCCATCCGGATAGAATTCTCCACTGTGTAGTCTTGTGAGTGGGAGGCTGGGAATTGTGGGGGGAAAGGTCATAGAGGTCAGGGCAGGACGAGCTCACCCCAAGATCCTGGATGTCACCCAGGGCACCACCTCCCCTTGACAGGACATGACCTTCTGTGCTGAGCCCATAACTGAGAGTGTCTCCTACTCACCACTCGTGGGATCTGAGTTGTTCTGTGAGAGGCTGATGGTGTCGGCTGCTCCTGAGAACCAGAAAGGAGTGGGGCTGTGTGAGGAGTTGATGCCACTCAAGCCCAGGATCCCCATCATTCTCCCCTTTCTCATGACCTAACTGCTACCAGTCCCTCCATGAACCCTTTCTCTGCTGGAGAAGGGTCCTGTATGCATTCATGAATTCTTTCCAGCTCCCTGGAAATTTTGAGTTTAGACTTGGCTTCTGAGTCACTTTGGAGCACCTTGGCTTAACCCAGAGAATTCAGGATGGGAGGAAAAAAATATGCTTTCTTATTAGAGACATTATCTACTGTTTGTTTGTTTGTTTGTTTGTTTGTTTGTTTGTTTTAAATCCTCAATGGAGGATATTTTTTCCATTGATGTTCAGAGAGATTGGGGAGGAGAGAGAGAGACAGAGACAGAAAGACAGACAGATGTGGGAGAAATGTATCGATTGGTTGCCTCCTGCACAGGCCACGACAGGGGCTGAGGATCAAGGCTGTGACCCTTGACTGGGAATCAAACTCATAGCCCTATAATGCCTGGGCTGATGCTCTAACCACTAGAAGACCACAGCCAGGGCCATAATTAGTTATTCTCATCTCTGCCCATTGTGAAATTCTGTACCAAGGAAGCTAACTCATCTGGGTAAAAGAGCTTATATTATGCTGAAGACCCAGGATTCATGGGTTGGTTTCAAAGTTGAAGACCCAGGATTCATGGGTTGGTTTCAAATATACATGCATGTATGTATGTAGACCTTAAGCAATTCTTGAGCTATGAATGAGAACAATTTTATAAATGAAACTGAAAAATGCATCTGAAGTAAAAAATTAACATTTTGAGCCCAGATGGTATAGGTCAGTCTTTGAGCGTCCACCTATGAACTTGGAGGTTATGGTTAAATTCCTGGTCAGGGCACGTGCTGAGGTTGTGGGCTCCATTCCTTGCGTGAGGCATGCAAGAAGCAGCAGATCAATGATTCTCTCATCACTCATGTTTTTTTAATGATTTTTAAAATCTATTTTATTGATTTTGTACAGAGAGGAAGGGAGAGAGATAGAGAGTTAGAAACATCGATGAGATAGAGTCATGGATCAGCTGCCTCTTGCACATCCCCTACTGGGGATATGCCTGCAACCATGGTACATGCCCTTGATCAGAATCGAACCCGGGACCTTTCAGTTCCCAAGCCAATGCTCTATCCATTGAGCCAAACCGGTTTCAGCTCATCACTCATGTTTTTATATCTCCCTCCCATCCCATTCCCTTTCTCTCTGAAATCAATAAAAATATATTTTTAAAAATTAACTTTTTGAACCATCTATTATAAGAAACTTCCTGTTGACAAAGTTATTCTTCATCATAAATACAAATATATGTTTTAAATGTATGTATATTTATTTCGGAGAAGAAGGGAAAGGGATAGAGAGAGATAGAATCATAAATGATAAGAGAGACTCATTGATCAATTGCTTCCTGCACACCCCCTACTGGGGATTGAGCCCGCAACCTAGGCATGTGCCCTTGACCGGAATCGAACCAGGGAATCTTTTAGTCCCCAGGCCGATGCTCTATCCACTATATATGTATGTCCTAGCCAAGCCAGCTAGGGCATACATATATTTTTTTTAATACATAGAAATATAATCCCAATTAAGATAAAAATAAATCCATGTTTTGGAAGTCATAAATGTTTGCAGGTTAAACTTATATATGCAACTGTTGCCTACAAGTTTACAGCAAAAGAGCATTAACAGAGAGATATGCACAGAAAACGCAGAGAGCAAATGTGAATTTCACACAGTGTCTAGGCAGGAGCCCCTAGTTCCTCATGAACCCTCCATGGCCCCCCTGAGTCTCAGGTGAGCACTGAGGGCCTGGAGGCCTCCAGGGGGCACAGGGCCTTGCAGAGTGGTGCCCACAGGTGGGGACACTTTTCACAGTGTGGATGGCACCGTTACCCACAGCAGGTCCCACCTTGGCCAGAGCAGCCACCTATCCTGCTCTGAGAAGGCTCAGGGCCCCACCTGTGTGGTGAGGGATTCCATCCAAAGGGGCTCTGGATGACTAGCCGAGGGAGTGTCCCCTGTCCTCTCTCTACCTCTCCACCTCTCCTTATCTCTCCTCCCCCATTGGCCCAGCCATTGTGCTTGTGCTACAAGCCAGGCCTGGGCACCAAATGCTGCCCCCTCTCCATCTCCCAGCCCACAGACTCTCCATTCTGCTTAGAGACTGGACACCAGGCGAACTATGGCTTTTGGTGGAAAAACCCCACAGATTCTGTGTGGAACCAGGAGGAGCTGACATGCTAAGTGGGAGTTTCCAAATCTTTGGTGTCTCCATAACATTGTGTGGCCCTTCTTGCTGAGCTGAGCCCCAGGCCTGGTGGATACTCAGTACACCTGCTGCCTGTCTCCCTCAGCTTTTAGTCCCTACAAGGTCACAGTGACTGGGAGCAGCAGGACAGGCCCAGACAGGGCTGACCTGGAGTAGGTCTAGGACAAGCCAGGTGTCAGGTGCCCCAGGATGTCAGGAATGAAAGCACCCCTGCAGGTCATGGCAGGCAGCCCCCCGGTTCCGAGGGAAAAGTTCTCAGACTTCACCTCCCCGGAGAGCTGAGCCCACACACACGCAGCCCCATTTCTTGGGGTCCTGCCTGTGGGATGTCTCCCTAGGAGCAGTGATGCTCTGGTCTGAGGTGGAGCCACCAAAGTCGGGGGGCAGAGCCTCTGTCTGGTCACTTCAGTCAAACCTCACTTCCTCTTAGCTTAACTGGAGTAGTGCCACCTCCTCCCTTCCTCAGGCCTGGCTGAAACTGAAGGCCTGGCTGCCCCAAGGGAGGGAGGTCCCTGTCAGTGTCCACACTTTCACTGATGGCCCTCCACGCAGTCCTCCTCCTACTGCCATCACATCTCAGACCTTGCTGGGGACAGAGACAGAGATGACCTGGGGGCCCAGAGAAGACAGGACAGAGCTGCTTACCTGAGACCTGGAGCTCCAGGGAATCACTGGGGAGTGACCACACCATGGGGCTGCTCCTGTAATAGCCATAGCATCTGAACATCCCCCTGTGGCTGGCAGTCACAGGGCCCACAGGGAACAGGGCCTGGAACTGCCCACTTGGCTGTCGCTGTGAGACCAGGGCCCAGGAGAGCCTTTGATCTCCTTCCTTAGTCAGAAGGAACCTGCCAAATCCCTGCCTTGAGCCACACTGGAGGGTCACGTTCCCTCCTGAGGTCACAACAGGGCTGGGCAGGGCTGAGAGGCTGGGTTTGCTGTAGAATCCTAGGAGAGGAGGAGGCAGCATGTTAAATGAGGCTCACACCTCCCTCATGTCCCCCAGGGCTGGTCTATGAGAGGGAGACACCCTGAGAGCAGACTCCCTTCCTGAGGGCAGAGCCTGAGGCTGGGACCCCTGAGTGTCCTCTCACCTGTCACCACCAGCTCCAGGGGGTCACTGGGCTCTGACAAGCCAGTGAGGTTGCGATAGTAACAGCGATATCTCCCTGCATTATACTCTGTCATGTGTGAGATGAAGAAATTGACCCTGTCTCCGGGCTGCTGTGGCTTCTGACTATTCCATGATGGTTGGCTTCCCTCTTTCTCCAGAAGGTACTCCTCAGCCTCTGGGGTCCCCTGACACCAGATGTTCAGGGGGCTCCTCCGGGGGACTACAGGGCCTGGCTCAGCCCAGAGGGTGGGCTTGTGGAGGGTCCCTGAAAGGAATCAGAGGCTGGGTCACAGGACATTCCCATGTCTGGTCCCAGGTCTCAGTCCTGGATGCCCCCCATCTGTCAGAGAGATCTTGCTTCTGCTGCCTTGGGAGAGGTCCTTTGTTCCCATGGTGGAGTGGGACCTGGGACACCTGGGGAGACTCACCTGCCTGCACTGGGGTCCTGAGGCCCACACTCAGCCCTGGAAGAGAGTCTCTATGAGAGATTTGCCCTGAACCCTGAGCAGCTCCCTTCTCCCCATGAGCCTCCTGAGTCCTGGGGCCCTGACGGACCAGGACTCCATTCACCCTCCCATCTCACCGAGGCAGAGCAGGGCCCTGAGGGTGTGAGTCATGACGTCTTCTCCCTATGGCCTTAGCTGAGCAGATGGAGGAGATGGCGGGGCCAGCAGGATGGATAGATGCACGGGTGGTGGTCACTTGGAGGCTGGTCCTGTCTATCACGGGGTTCTCGTGTCAGAAGCCTGCAGGCAAGGGCACAGCCTCTCTAGCAGCCTGACTCTCATTTTCATGGTGAAGCAGGAAACAGACCTGGATCCTCCTGAGCAGAAGGTGGCCCAGGGCAAGTCCTTCCCTGTCAGAGCCTCCTCGAAGGAGCCTTTTTCCTCTTTAGCTTGTCCATCAGCACCTCCCTGGGGTTCTCACCATGGACAGTGCCACCCGGGCCCTGGAGACGCTTCAGGAAGACATGGGTCCCTGTGGCCTGCAGAGCTCAGATCAGCAGGGACACACTCACCCTCTCCCTGTGAGCTCAGCGCGATGTCTGTGACAGTAAGCACAGCGGGAAATGAAGCAAAATAAGGGAAGGACACTTCTATGACCTCAGATTACAGTTCCTTTTTCTAGCACGTTTTTTCATGAATTTTCCTTTTTTTCTCAGAAACAGCCTCCAGCTCCTCCTTTCTGAAAATAAGCCTCAGGGTCCTTTTGCCCCTCAAGGCTCCTAGATCCTCTAGGGCAGAGCTGCCCTCCTGAGACCATGGTTTGTCCTAGACATTAAAGGACTCTAATTTGGGCTAGAACTTTGATTTGATGAAGAAAATTAATCTTTTGTGTTTTTGTTAATCCTCACTTGAAGATATTTTTTCCCATTGCTTTTAGAGTGGAAAGGAAAGAGGGATGGTAAGTGAGATAGAGATAGAGATAGAGATAGAGATAGAGATAGAGAGCATCTGCCTCCTGGTGATCAGTGCTCATCATAGCGACTGGTTGTCCCTTGTTCAGTAGATTTGCATGTTAGCTTTTTATTATATAGGATTTTTATTTATTAATATTTCAGAGATGGAAAGGGAGAGAGAGATAGAAACATTAGTGATGAGAGAATCATTGATGGGCTGCCTCCTGCACTCCCCCCACTGGGGATGGACCTGCAACCCAGGCGTGTGCTTGACTGGGAATGAAACTGTGACTTCCTGGTTGATAGGTCAACACTCAACCACTGAGCCATGCCAGCCAGGCAAACTTCAGTTCTTAATTTGCTGTGAAGGGCTGTTTGAGAAGTGATTTGTTCGAAAATGGGATCTCTCCTCCTCCTCCTCCACCACCACCACCCCCACCACCACCACCACCATTATAAATAATGTAAATTGAATTAATCTGTTCCAAACCCCCAAATGATTCCATTTTAATCTTTCTTTAAAACAGAACATATCTAATGTACTGTTTAATCTATAAACAAACACTTGTCTTCTTAAAGTCATTGAACCACCCCTTACTGGCCTTAAATGAATCACTTTTGATAGATCCTCCCTTCCTCCAATTGATGGACGGATGTAAACTCCACCTGCAGCCAGACATTCCTGAGCACTGAACTACCCATTAGCACCTGCCAAATACCCTAAGCCCCCTAGGTCCCTAATCATGTGCCTTACATGAAACCACCAATCAGCGTGTGCTGAGTGCCCTAAGTCCCATCTCCTCTCTTTCCTCCCCTTAAAAGATGCATGAACTCCCGCCCTTGCTCTCTTTCTCTGGAAGACAGCTGGCAGTGATACTCTTCTCTTCAATAAAGCCTGTGTCCTGGCACCCCGGCCTCCAGCCCTCCTCTCTGTTTCATCTTTCAACTTTCAGCACACGTTCTAGGGTTGTCTTTTAAGTGTTCACTTATCACTGCCTCCAAAATGCTGTCAGTGGCTAATTGCTTTTCCTTTATCCAAACCAACACCAGTTTTGTTTTGTTTTTGTTTTTTTGATTTTTTAAATCTCTTCCATTGCCTGTGCTCATTGTCTGTTTCACCCCATAGCAACATTAGCACTCTTGATGGCCTCTTCAAGTTTTAAAATTGTGCTCATGGCTGATGTTTCCCCCCCAGGAACAAAAACATTCTCTCCTCTGTTTGCTGTCTGAGAGACGTCTTTTGTCATGCTGAAGTATCAGCATGAAAGGGTTGTCAGGTCAAAAACAGCAACTTGGTTCCACAGTTGAGGCATTTTCCCTTTTGAACAACTTGGTGGAGAACTGAATTGTTTGAGATGGCAGATCTTGGAGAACTGAGGTTTGACTGTATTGTGAAAAGATTTCATTTTAAAATAGAACTGGAGGGTATGAAATGGAGAGTCTCACATATGGGTTCTGCGGTAAACTCACTTTAAGGACTGAAGGAGTGATTCCCCATAAATATCTGATCCACAGAAAAAGTAATCAAAGCATGAGATTAAGAGATTAAATCATTTTCATCTTTCAAAACTGAAACAAAAGGCTAATAATCTCACAGGCCATAAACTAGTTCAAAGAGTTCAACTAACTTAATTTCCAAGAAACCTCACTTTCAATTCCCCTAAGTTCTTCCTAAAATGTTGAGCAGTTATTTTTTTAAATTTATATATTTGTAAAGACTTTCTTATTAACATTTAACAAAAACAAATCAAGCATAAAAAGCTGTAATCATTTATGGAAATTCAGAGCTCTCTAAATAAATTTTAGTTTAAGTTGACCTTTTATACTTCCTTTTAAATACTACACATACAAACATTTATTTATAATCAATGAGGCAAATACAGGTCTAATAGATAGCCAAGAAAGACTTGGTAAATGTTTCTAGATTCCTAAAACATTTTAGAGGCTTTCATATTAATAATTCTACACTTTCCATTCTTAAAATGTTTTACCAAATAAAACACACTGATACCATTGGGTAACATTTAAAACTGAAACTTTGCCGAGACCGGTGTAGCTCAGCGGTAGAGCGTTGGTCTGCGGACTGAAAGGTCCCGGGTTCGATTCCGGACAGGGTCATGTACATTGGTTGTGGGCACATCCTCAGTGGGGGGTGTGCAGGAGGCGGCTGGTTGATGTTGCTCTCTCATCGACGTTTCTAGCTCTCTATCTCTCTCCCTTCCTCTCTGTAAAAAATCAATAAAATATATTTAAAAAAAAAAAACTAAAACTTTTTGTATATTAATATAAATTTATTTGTTTATTTAAATTTTTATTTTAATATTTTTTTCTTACAGATTTTACATATTTTGTGTCACAATGTGCAATTTTACATTTTTCAGTGTTTATTTTATGAATATTATAAGCTATTTTTTTCTAGAATGACTGTGTAATATTTGTATTATGTGATCATTTGAAAATTAACAAATATTTTCTCCTTGGGAAAAAAAAAAAGTAAACAGTTTTGACCAATGGGCACCCACCACAAGCTTCTCCACATCCTCAACAATGAAGTTTCCCCTTGAACTGTAGTTTTCCACCACCTCCTTGAATTTATTGCATACAGCCTGCCTCCAATCCTTAGAGAACTCCCCTATAGTGTGTACAGTTTTCATGTTCCGAATTGCAATTCCTCTGCTGTTAACCAAATCACTTCAATGTTTTTGTTACAGAGTTCCCGAACAATCAAACAATGCAGAAGGAGAGTTTGGAGAGACCTAGTTTATTCATCGCGCGATGGGCTTAGAGAAAATGATTGCAAATTCTAAGCAAAGCTACAAGCAGAACTTCCCTTTTTATTAAAGAGCCAGCCCTATGTGCACTTAGTGGTTATCTCGATACTGGCCTTGAAAACAATAGAGAAGTCTGTGAGATCTATAGTGATGTCTCATTTCATTACTTACGTAGGTTCTTGGTGCCATATCTTTGTTTCTTTTTCAGTGCTGCTGGATTTTATACATTTTAAGCATATTCCATAATAAATGTTTTGGGCATTATCAATGCTATGGACTGAATGCTTGTATCCCCTCAAATTCATATGCTGAAGCCCTAACCCCACAGCATAAACTGTATTTGGGAAAGTGGGGCTTCTAGGAAAGTAGGTTAAATAAGGTAAGAAGCTCTTGATTAGATAAGATCATTCACCTTGAAAGCAGATAAACTGGACAGCTCATTCTGTTTCTCTCCATGTTCCCACACCAAGGAAAAGCCATGAGAACACACAGGAAGAAGGGGTTTTCTGGAAGCCCAGGCACAGACCCTATGGGGCACCGACCCTTTGGGCTCCTTGATCTGGGATTTCCATGCTCCAGAACAATAAACAAATAAACTTCTGTTGCTTAAACCTCTCCGTCTATGATATTTTGTTAGAGGAGCCTGAGCAGAATAATATAAAACTTGCTACCAAGACCTGGGAGCAGATTTGGAGCTGGTAATGAGAAGAGGCTGAAGGAGTCTTGAGGTGCATGTGAGAAAAAGTCTAGGTACTGTGTCTGGACTGCTGGTGGGTATTGTTAAAGTCGCCAAAGGAGGAACGTATCAGGCAAAAAGGGATAAAGAATTGTGAATTTAGTAGGCCATCTGGAAAACCATGGGCTGAGCCCCCAAATGGGCTGAGCACCAGCACCCAGGGACAGGAAGTCAGAGATTTTAAAGGACTCTAGGTGGGCTTTTCCTGGGCAGAGGATTCTCTGGGCAGATCCGGAGGGGGAAAGAGAACGGTCTTAGCACATGAAATGTGGTCTTAGCAAGTGATATGTAGTTTAAGCAAAAGGGAATGTCGGTTGTGAAGTGGTCTAAAGGTCAGTTTCTGGGGGAAAGGGGTATGGATTCAATTATTTGATCATACCTTTACAGATACATGGACCTTCATGGTCATTCCAGTGAAGGCTCAGAGACGTGCAGAGAGAGCCCGCATGATGGCAGAGGAGAATGCATGATGAATGGTGAACGGAACGTTGGTACAACTATGGATGGTAGCACCCATTTTGGTGAGTCCTCAGACGGAAAATGGTAAAGACAATCTTAGACAATGGAGAAGAGTTTCTCGTTGTTATAAAGGGGTAAATAACTTGGGTGAACTGTGTTCTAATGCTTCTAGAAGGTAGAATGTGGGAGCCATAAAACTATATTTAGCTGAAGAGATTCTTAACAAAATGGTGGTGCGTGGCCCGAGTCCTT